TGGAAAAAGACTGTGTGTTCCAAAAAAGATGGAAAGATGGACAGATCTGTGTTCAAATCAAACGGTGTGGGAAGTTCTGGAGGAGAAAAAGTTCTTTTAATTGTAGGATTTTTTTTAAAGCATGTAAAATGCTAATATAGAGGCACATGGGTGGCTCAGTTAAGCATCCGACTCGATTTCAGCTCAGGTCATGATCTCAGGGTGGTTGGGATCGAACCCCTAGTCGGGCTCCATGCTCAGCGTGGTATCTGCTTAAGATTCTTTTTTTCCCCTCTCCCGCTTTCCCTGCTTGTGTTCTCTCTCTCGCTCCCCCTCTCTCAATAAATACATAAATAAATAAAATCTTTTAAAAAGTTAAAAAAAATAAAATGCTATACGAATGGTGACACTTTAAAGGAGAAGTTGGAAAAAAATAAAGGAAAAGTTGGTACAATATTCAAGTGAAAGAAGCTTAAACCAAGAATCCAATGCAGTGCATTGAATATTTACTGTGATGCTGTCTCTGAATGTCTTTTATATTTTGAAAAAGAAAAGTATGCTAAAAATTTCCCACACGCAAGGGAAGGCTATATGGGAGAAAAGATCCTTGTGGTTTCTCAATAAATATTAACAAAATGTTTATATGATATCATATTAAGATCTAGTATATGCTTATTGAATGGAACATTCACTATTTATTCCCATACATTTTTCTAATAGAAAATTGATTTATTTCTGAACTAGAGGATTCATAAATATTTTAATTTTCAAGATCCAGAAGAATTTTTCTCAGCTGCCACAGTGAATGTTTTTTCTTCTGCCAATATGCTGCAGTGGTTAAATATGCAAGAGAAAGCTTTGTCATAATTTTAAAATATTACTCTGATAAACTCAGCAAAATTTCACTAAAACTGTGAACAGTGGCATTTCTCATGCTCTGATTAGAAATAGTGAAGTGTGTTCTACAATCACAGAAAGTTCAAAGCAACCAAATAATCAAAATCACTGTGATGAATACCTTCTACTTACAATATGAATAGATGATTTTTTAGACTTTATAAATATTTACTGTTTATCATATATGGTATTATCAGCATTTATTAGTAGTCAGAATGTGTTTGACTCTCCTGGTTTTCTTCAGATATTTATAACTACACATTAAACCTTTTGAATTATGTAGAGAAATTTTAATGGAAGAACCTAAACTTTGGTGACTGAAATTTGATTTATATTTTATAGCACAGTTAAGTTCTAGAATGTTTAGCTTTAAAAAATGTCCTTTGAAGTATATTGGAATAAATATGATTGGTAAAAACAGCTGAGCCATTCACCAAGATTTTTATAGAGATGACTGCACCATTTTGCTTTCACATATTTTTAAGGTGATGGACTTTAAAAACTAATTTTCATTTTTCAAAGGACAGGGTGTTTCATGTTTTGCAGAAAGTGCAATGATTGACATTTTAACCGGTGAAACATCAGATAATGAAAGAAAGCAACTTTCCCCCTAAAGCCGCATTTCAACATACATACAATCCAAAGTTATTTTGCCTTGACGTCTTTATATCTTTGCCGTTCAGTGACCTGGGCACAGTTGTGAAGAGCCTGTGGAAGGATTTGGTGATACTCAGGTCACACTGTACTTTGCATCCACCCTTACTGGTCTTACTGTCTTACTGCCATTTCATACCATTGCCTAGTTGGGGAATAGGATGGATACTTGTTACTTCAGTGGTCACCTGCAGTGAATAAGATTGTTATTTGCACGGATTTATTTCCTTTGTGTATTAATATATAATTTTTTAAAAGATTTATTTATTTGAGAGAGAAAGAATGAGCGGGGGAGAGGGAGAGAGAATCTCAAGCAGATGCCTGCTGATCATGGAGTCCCACAAGGGACTGGATCCCACAACCCTGAGATCACAACCTGAGCTGAAACCAAGAGTCAGAGGCTTAATTGACCCAGGTGTCCTATTATATAATTTATTGCCCCCAACAGGGCAATATTGAATTTATTAGCCAAACAGGGACACTTGAGGGGGGGAAAAAAGAGGTATTAATTATTATGCTAGGACAACAGGCATAAAGTGTGGTCACCCTACCCAGGGAAGATTTTCTATTCCAGGAAGGTGTTTTCGAGGGAAGAATTACGGGTACCCTTGGGAGTAGGTGGAAGGGTTCCTTGACCAAGTCCAAAACCAAGGATTTGGAACCATTAAGCACATTTCAGAGGTCAGATATGTATTTTGAGTCTTATGTATGTCTGGACTCTACCAACTGACTTAGAAGAGTTCTGAGGTCACTTAACAAGTGGCAAGATTCATAGAGAGCCAAGGAACTAGACCAGAGGATTTTCCAGATGCCCAGGGAGACTGTTACAGCTGGTCATTGGTGCTTAAGTCTATGTCAAAAAACAGAAGAAGAGACTCTTCTTTGAGGAATAACTTTTTGTCAGTAGTATCCTATGAACCCTGTAGGCAGAGCTGAGTAAAGAAAAATACATCCAGAAGCAATGAATCTCCAGTTAGGTATATGGGTGAGTGGCATTTCCTTGCATATAGATTTACCATTAAGTGATACACAACATCTTCTCATTATACTCTACTTAACTCATGTTTATTTTTGGGGGAAATCAAGGGAGAATACAGTATTTGCTTGTAAAGAAAAAAATAACATCTATCCATTATATGACTGTCTAAACAAGCATAGCTCTGAGATCTAAAAATGTTTAGATCTAAAATGTTTACATGTAGAGAAAATTTAAGTGGCAGTGTTACTTGCATAGTGGACTTCCGTGTTTTAAGAGTTGACATGTTAGTGATGAACTATCTGGTCATGAAGCCAGGTATCCCTGTTTATAGAAATTTGAAGATCCTTTCATTATTAAGATACAGTGAGCTTATTCAGTACACTGGTCAATTTGGTCATATATATTTTTTTAAAGATTTTATTATTTAGAGAGCGAGTGGTGGGGGGAGGGGCAGAGGAGAGGAAGAGAGAGAATCTCAAGCAGACTCCCCACTGAGCACAGAGCCCGATGTGGGGCTCGATCTCCTGACTCCAAGATCATGACCTGAACCAAAATCAAGAGTTGGACGCTTAACTGACTGAGCCCCCTGGAGCCTGCTTTGGTCATATTATTTAAAATTGAAAATAACGGTTAGGAGCAGGCATATGGTGATGAAATCCCTGGTTTAGGGATGCTTCATAGTATATAAGCTTTGGTGTCAGACATTCCAAAGCCTAGATGTTCCATTTACTAAATTTACTACAGACGAGTTGCCTAGAACAGCTCTTCTCTTTGGGGGATGATTACACTTACTGTGTAGGGTATTTGAAAAGACTAATGGTAATATATGCAAAAAACCTGGCACATAATGGGAACTTCTGGTAACATGTCTGTTGTTCTTATTACTAAAGATAATAGCATTTGATCTTCAGGTTTGTCAAAACTTTGGGTGTATTCTGACCAAGAATTATTTTGTCCCCCTTCTCCCAGTATTATAAACAAGCTTATGCATGAAAAGGATATGTAGAAATGAATTTTTACATTGTATTAATTTATTCCCCAAGCTGTTATCTAAGATAGCCTGATACTCTGATTCTTATTTTAGCCAAAGGGAATTTAAGCACATAAAACTAATTTCTCAAAAGCACAAATCATGTTGTTAGAATTTCTAATTTATTGCCCAGTCTTGCTATTTTTTTCTCATGAGTTTGGTGGCAAAACTGGTAAGGACTCTATGAAGCTAACTAACCCCAAGCACTGACTTAATCTAGAACTAGTTATTTTTTTAAGTTATCTCATTTTTTTCCTCCAAATTTTTATTTAAATTCTAGTCAACATTCAGTGTTACAGTAGTTTCAGGTGTAGAATTTAGTGATCCATCAGTTACATACAAAACCCAGTGCTCATTACAAGTGCCCTCCTTAATCTCCATCATCTGTTTACCACCCCACCCCACCCCACCTCCCCTCCAGCAACCCTGTTCTCTGTAAAGTCTGTTTCCTAGTTTGCCTATTTCCCCCTTTATGTTCATCTGTTTTGTTTCTTAAATTCTACATAAGAGTGAAATCATATGGTATTTGTGTTTCTCTGACTGACTGACTTGCTTAGCGTAATACTCTGTAGCTCCATCCACATTGTTGCAAATGGCAAAATTTCATTCTTTTTTATGGCTGAGTAATATTCCATCACATATACCATACCTTCTTTATCCATTCATTTGGTCGATGGACATTTGGGCTCTCTCCATAGTTTGGCTCTTGTTGATAATGCTGCTTCAATGTTTATCACTGAGGTACATGTATCCCTTCAAATGAATATTTTTATATTCTTTGGATAAATACCTCATAGGGCATTGCTGGATCATAGGGTAGTTAGATTTTTAACTCTTTGAGGAACTTCCATACTGGTTTCTTTTGTGATCAATTTAGAAACTTAAGTATTTCCCAACTTTTTAGTTGTGTATTAAGAGGGAAACAAAAGCAAAGTTCAGAATGTCTAATTTACCTGCACTTCCAAAGTGGCTAGGCATTTTATTTATTTATTTTTATTTATTTATTTATTTATTTATTTAGAAACTGGTAAAATAACAGAATGAATACCACGGTGCCAACCTCAAACTGTTCAGGTGTCCAGAATCCATTCTCCTTTTTCAGTTGGATCTTTTTAAAACTACTAACTCAGCAGGTGAATCCTGTTGGTCTTGACAGATGAATCAGTTACTCTCTGAAAAGCTCTAGTTTCACTGTGCATCACTATGTACAATAGAGATGGCCAGCCAGCATGAAATGTGCCACACTTGTAGGTAGAAGAATATAGAAGGATGATGCCTCAGACAACACATGGAAGACTCTGTGGTTGGAAAAAGTAAAACTATTTTGATAATCAGAAGACATTTATTACAAAGTGGAATGATTGTTCTGCCCTCCGAAGTTGATTGGCTAATACTAAGTCAGTGTTTCAGGAATTAAATTTCCTACTTAATTTCTCCTCACCTGTTTTCCATGTGGAACAGCAGATCCCCTCACATGTGACTTTGAGTCTGGTTTATGCGGCTGGGAGCCATTTCTCACAGAAGATTCACAGTGGGAAGTCATGAAAGGAATGGCAAGTGGAGAGACTCACCTTCCTGATGCTGATCACACAGCAAACGCAAGTCGTGGTAGGACATTTTCCTCTTTAAAAAATTGGTTGCCTTTCTTTCGTGTTGCAGAATGATGGTGCTGTGTATTCATTTCTAGCTATAGACTACATACATGGAACTCTGGTTTGTCTTGAAACTCTCCTGATCAACATAATAATTTGTAGTTAATTGAGTTTCCTGAGAAGAATATTGTTTTAATAACCAACATTTTTGATGTCTTATTTTTTACAAGGTTGGGTTGAAGGCATGGTGAGGGTGGGAAGTCTTCTGATAATTTTCTCTAGTTGCCAGAACTCATGTACAATAAGCTTGCTTTCTTTACAGAGCAATCCAATTTTTGTAAAACAGAAAAAAAATAGTTTAATCTTTCTGGAAACAGAGAATAGAGGTTTAGCACTATCTATAAAATAAATTGACAAATGCTTGAATGCAATTTAATCACTCTTAAAGCTTCTTTGTAACAATCTTCTTTCTCATGTATTTTTAACCACCATTACAATTTTTACATATCCTCTTAAAGCAGTCAAATGACACATAGCATTTCAATAAGGGTTTGTGAATCTCCAAGGAAAACAGAAGGGTTTTCTATTTTTTCTCGTTTATGTAGATGTCATTGCCTAGGTGCATGAGTATCATATTAACTTTATAAAAACACAACTGTACTGTCGATCCTCTCTTGGACATTATTTATTTCTCTTTTGAGATTTCCAAAGAGGGATGCCAGAACTAACAATGTTGACCGTATTTTGAATTATAGCCACTGGAAACTGGAGTTGGTGGGGGAGCATGTTAGGGGATGGGGAGGGAGACTCTGACCATGCATCTGTTGTCTTAAACTATAAACCCAGCTAATTTGACAGTGGAGTAAGGTCCTAATTTTTTCTTTTTGTGCCAGTGAACCTTATTTTTCTTTAAGATTCTGTGGTGGATTAAAGTTTGAAACAGAAAGGGCTAATGATTAGAGCTATAAGTTAATAGCCCATTTTCTTCAAGCTCATATAATGTTTCTTTTTCTTTTCTAAAACCAATTACTGAGTACATATCCTATACTAGACCTGGGCTACACAGGAGGAAGCCATGCTCCCTGCCATTGGGGTGGTCTGAAGTCTAGTGACTGAAGCAAGTAAGTGAGGATTTGCAATAAGATATGATAAATGTTTTATACAAGATGGAGGGCAACTCAGGTGGAATCAAGAGGCCTTCCTGAAGGAGGTGACTCCTGAACTGAGCACTGAAGGGAAATGAAAAGTTGCCAGAAAGGCTGAAGTAAGAAGAGATGTCAAGGGAGGTGTTCTAACTGAGGGAATATCCTGGAAGAGGATGGGAGAGATGTAGGTAGTTCCAGTCGAGTGATGTGTATGTTTGGACAGAGCATAGAAAAGATGAAGCAGCCAAGGAAAGAGGGGGATTATGGAGAGTTTAGGAATTTGAAATCTATCTGGAGGACCATGGTGACCATTCAGTCTATGAAAGCACGTGACCCATTAGTTTTGTTCTAAAAGGCTGAGATGCAACACTTTTCTGTAACACTGAATGGCCTGTTGATTACCCTTTAAAGGAAGCTCCGTGGTGTTTCAGAGGCTGGGACTTGGCTTGGCTGGGGGTAGAGGATAGAAGGCTGTAGTTAGGAAGCTTTAAGAGCTATCTGGGAAGGGTGAGACACACTGAGGCCTAGGGCCATCTTTATTGCGGGCTCGCCTATTGGCATGTTCAGTCTGGCTCTGTGCCTGGGTCTCTGGGGGAGATGGGCTTGCTGTTTCAGGAGGCGTGGAGCTCTGTCTTGGGCTAAATGGTGCTTGCAGTGTGACTCTTTTCTACTCATAAGCTCCTCACATGGTGTGTGGGGTGGCCTTAGGTGACCTCTCGTATAGCAGGGTGACAGAGAGCCCTGGTTGCTCAGGGGTAAGTCAGGATGTTGTTGACACTGCACAAATTAGCTAAATGCCTTTGTGCCTCATTTTCTTTTTTCAGCTAGAAAATAGGGAAAATCAAAATATCTTTCAAGTAAAATTATTACGAGGATTAAATGAAGTAATACCTGTCATACAGTAAAAGCCCACTAAATGTGAATAGCTATCTGGTGTCCGTTCGTTCTAGTTAGAAAACTAGGAATACTACAGGGCTGTGACAATAAGAAAACATTTATAAGTAATCTTTAGACATCGTGTAATTACCACTTAATTATGATTTATACCAAAAAGAGATTCTAAAAGGTCTCCTTTGTTAATTATTGAAGGACCCATTTTTCTTTTTCTGGGATCTAAACAATGCTCACAGATAACAATAAACTGATAGAACTGCGGGTAGCTGTTCTAATTGAAAGTGAAAGCGGCAAAGAAGTTACAGGCATTCTCTCAGGAAAGGGCAAATCAAGGAGTCCCTCAGCTATTAAGTCTGTTCTTCTTTACCTATGATTGTCATTCTGACTTTAAGATGATCACTAGTAGTCTTACATCCCAAATGAGGAGGAGAAAAAGTCAGTACCAGGAAGAGCAAGGAGAAGTGAAATGGGAGTTTCTGGGGGAAGGCAGCAGGCTCAGTCGCCCGGTTCCCGCATCTAAGACCATGCACTTGCATACAGCCTATTATATTCCTAGACCTATGTGTTTGTGGGTTGCAGCATTTTAAAAAACTGTTTAATCTCCAGTATTTTTTCTCATATATACACACTCCTATATGTTAATTTTACATGAAGGATGAACCGCTTGACATTATGTAGCTTTTCTTTTTAGGGTAAAACCTTGATTTTCCTACCTCCCTTCTTTGGTTGGTTTTTATTTTCCAGTTCCTAGTTGTTACCCTATTAAACATCCAAACAGGCAACTCATGTTTATCTATTTTTATCTACACTCATGTATACATATATGTACATAATTGATATGTATACATTCAAGGTTGTAAGTATTCTGGCGATTGTTTATTTTGCCAAAAAATGGGATCCTATTGTAACTACCGTATCTTATTTCCTTTACTAAAGATAGCTCATGGCAATCCCTCCAAGTCATCAATTATAGTCATTTTGAATTTTATTTTTTCTGTTAAATATATATATATTTGTACATATATATATACCCGTGCATACATATGTATATATATACATATACACATACATATATACACATATACATATGTATGTATGTGCACATGCATATATATACACATACATACATATTTATTAGTGGTGTGGCCACTCGGAAGGGTTTATTATGGGAGGGCCATTATAGTTATGATGGTGCAGACTGCCTCCGCCAGTATTAGGGACCCTGCCGTCCATGGCAATCCAGCCAGGGTTCTGAGGGGGTTGCCCATCTGTTAAAGTATAATTTAAATGCAGTAAAATTCAACCTTTTTGGTGTACAATTCACTGAGTTTGAACAAACATATATAATTGTGTAACCGTCAGAAAACTCAGGATATAAAAGAATTCCATTCTCCCCCTAAATCAATACTGCTTTGCAGTCAATACCCATCTCATTTCCAGCCACCAGCATCCACTGATCTGATTTCTGTCCCTATAGTTTTTCCTTTTCCACAGTGTCCTATAATTGGATCCTACAGTATGTAGCCTTTGGAGTCTCTGGTCAGAAAGTGGCCCCTTTCGGAAGTTTAAGGTACAGCCTCAGGTAGTTTCCTCACGTCCATGTACTGGTCAGTAGTCAGGTGGAGATTTGCAGGAGGGGGAGACTGCACATGTCTGGAGCTCTACCTTTGCAGCTCCGTCCTCTTGGAATGAACTCGAGGCACTTGAGTCTCCTTCTGGCTCCCACCTTCCTACATGGCGGCCAGAAACTCTGTTTAGGCAGTAAGCTGGGGAAATTGTATGGCTTAGCTCATTTGTTTTCCCTCTCTTAGGGATCATTAACCCGTGATCTTATATTCTCATTGTTCTACATAAACCATTGTCTAACGCATTGTGTGTGTGTGTGTGTGTGTTTGCTAGTTCAGGAAGACTAAATCTTGTCCCTGATCTCAACCTTGCCTAGAAGTAGAAGAAGCCTAATTTTTCTGTTAGTTTGCTTCATTTCTTTGGTCTGGATATGCCAGAATGTATCTAGCTGTCCTCCTATTGAGTGACAATATCATGACAATGCTGCGAAATCCATTCTTCTACACATTTTCTTATATAGGACGCTTTCAATTCTATGCAATAAATAACTGTGAGTGAGACTACTATATTTTTACAGAAAGATGTACTTTCCCCCAAAATCTTTTTTTTTTTTTTTTAAAGATTTTTTATTTATTTATTTTGAGAGAGAGAGAATGAGAGAGAACACATGAGAGGGGATAAGGTCAGAGGGCAAAGCAGACTCCCTGCCGAGCAGGGAGCCCGATGTGGGACTCGATCCAGGGACTCCAGGATCATGACCTGAGCCAAAGGCAGTCGCTTAACCAACTGAGCCACCCAGGCGCCCTCCCCCAAAATCTTAATACTTAAAATTCCATTGGCAAAATAGGATTGCTTTTTTCCATTTGTCTGTCAGCAATATGCATTATATTCTCTTAAATTCTTCTAATTTGTGGGTATAAAATGATTGCTTATTTGTAACCTTTATTTGTATTTTATTGAAAAATGCTCTTTTCAAATGTTTCTAATTTCTCAGTCAACTTAGATCATCTTTATTTTCTCTAAATAATATTCTGAAGCTTTTAGCGTATAGATTTTAAAAATATTTTGCTAATTTTTTTTAGGTTTTTGATATGTTTGCAGCTATTATAAGTTATATTTTAAAAACTTTTGGTTGTTGCTGGTATATAGAAATGCAATTATATTTTTAAATGTTGACCTTGTATCTAATGACCTTGCTAATTTTTTTTATTATAGCTAAGAGTATATACATGTGTGTGTGTGTATATATATATATTTATTTTATTTTCTAGGTTCACAATTATTTTCTCTGCAAATAATGACAATTTTATTTCCTTTTTTCTAAATCTTAAGCCTTCTGTTTTTTCATTGCACTGGCTAGTAACTCTGGAAAAATGTTGAATATAACTGGTGATAGCTGCTCTACTTCTCTTGTTCTTATTTCAGAAGAAAATTGTCAACAATTCAACCTTAGGTACTATATTTGCTGAAAGATTGTTTTGCTTTATTAGATAAAGATGTTCCCTTCTATTCATAACATGGTTTTGTGTGTGTGTGTATACACACACACACATATATATATGAATCTATGTTAAAATTTGTCAGATTTTTTTTTAGTATCATCATATCATCATCATATTTTTTGTTTGTTCATAAGGTGAATTTTTCAAATATTAAATCACCTTCTCGTTCATGAACCAAATCTCATTTGGTTGGTTTTGTTTATTTATGCATGATTTTTTATTCTAGATGGTAATATTGATTTATGATATTTGTATCTATATTCATTATAAGGTCTGGTCTCTAATGTTTTCACATCATGTAAGGAGTCCCTCCTAAACCATTGCATTAAAAGCAGGTGCATGCTTCATAAAAGATGAGGTTGAGGCTGGCATGGACAGTGTAATGCATGGAGGCTGACCCCCTCTTTTCTTTAATTCTTATACTGTGTTAGTCATGTTGCCCCTCTGGGGTGTGTGGGTGTACAGGAGTTTTGCAATATGAACAATTTGGATTACCAGGAACCATCTCCTTGATATACTATGATTCTGTAGTTCTCTTAACTAAGTACATTCTGCACAGCAGACTTATAAGAAGGTAAATCCAGAGACATTTTTCTAGAAGTCCTTGGGTCTAGGCTCAGAGTTCAGATTCTGTTTACCCTGCTCTTATAAATATTAGTCTGTATTATTCGTTTTCTAACTCTTTAAAGTTCTCTTAGGATTTTATTTAGCTTTCAAATAAATTTTCACTAAATATTTTTATAATATCTTTCCATCTAAAAATATATCTTTCTATTTAATCAGAGGGTTAAAGTTAAAAAATAACTTAATAACATTTCTTTGTTTCCACTTACCTTACCAAATTCTCTTATTAATACTTGTCATTATTTAAAAATAGAAGCTTTGGGATTTTCTACTTTTATGATTGTATTATTGGCAAAACATGAGAACTCTATCTCTATTTTCTAGTTTCTACTGAGTATATTATTTTCTTGACTTTTACATTCACTAGGCCTATAAGATAATGTTGGTCTAAGGTAATATTATCTGCGATTAATAATGATAGAAATCTCTAGTTTCTCATTTTAATTAAAACAGTTTTGTTGTTTGCCATTTAGGATATTTATTTTGGGGTTGATCATTAGTCTGTATTTAATTGTTTACTTTTAATATTTTCTTAAGATTTCTTTTTATTGGCAATGGCTGTTTTTTCCACAGTCTTCTCAATATTTGTTGATCTGAGTCTGACTCTACCTTGTAATTTGTTAATCTGATTGACTGTGTTGATAGAGCAGCTAAATTAAACTCAGCTTCCATTCATGGAAAGCTCAGATTGATCAGGATATATAATTTTTTTGATAAGGATTTCAAATGCAATTGATAACTTTTTAATTACCATTTTATATCTATGATCATGAGTGACATTGCAGTTTATTTTTTATTTTCCTATTTCTGTAACTTTTAGATTAGAGATATCTGGCAATGTAAAATGAGTCAGGGAGTTCTCCATATTCCTCTAAGACTTAAGGTCCCTTGAATAATGTTACAAGTATTTCTTAAAAACTAAATAAAACTCAACCGTGGATTGAGTTTTATTTATTTCCAGTAGATTTTTTTAAATCACTTTTCCAGTCATTTTTGTGGTATACCGAATTGATTTAAATCTTTTGCTCCTTTTAGAATTTGGAGTTTTAGTTTATATGTCCCATCCTTTATTGACTGCTTGTTTGAAATTGTATATATTGTTTTTAAATTACCAGGGGACTAGGATCTTTGAATATTTGTTAATTTGTAGAATTCTGATTAGTATTTTAAAAGTATTCAATTGAATTTTAGTTGAACCTAAGGATTTTTAAGCTGGAATAATTTTTTCAAAATCCTCTTTTCCTATGCTATTCTTTCATAGGTGAAACAATTTAATGAGCTTATATAGTTTCTATCATTCTTGGTTTGAAATTAGGGAATAATAGCTTTTATTCTGCCCTGTTAGTTTTGGGATGTTAAAGCCCATATAGGGGTGCCTGGCTGGCTCCAGTCAGTGGAGCATGTGACTCTTGGTCTCAGGGTTATGAGTTCAAGTCCCACATTGGGTGTGGAGCCTACTTAAAAAAAAAAAAAAAAGTCCATATAAACTAGTTCTGTTTTTCTCAGTCAGAGATGATACTGCTGATTTGCAACCTTGGTTGTTTGGTTAAACACGTGGTGGTAGCTATAAAATAATACATTTTAATTCTGAAATCCTTTCCTTTCCATGTAGTCAGCCTTGACCTATATCTAGGAAAATCACCTTTTGAATATGGTATTTTTCAGTCAAAATTGTCCATTTTCCTAGTTGCCCATCACTTCGTGATTATAAAAGGGCGGGATCAGACCTTGACATTGTTCTGCGTCACCTTCCTTGTAAATTTTCAGTATTCAATGAAGCTACCCCTGACAGCAGTTCAGGAATGTGTGATCTTTTGAGCTGCAAAAGAGATGTTATCCCCCTGTACTTTTGCCATGAGCGCATCCACTGTAGTTAAAATCTAAAAGCAGTTATTTTGTTAACACTCAGATTAGATCTTTAATTAAGCTTTCATCCCCACTAGCACAGACAATGTCAAACATGTAAGCCCCGGGAGAAACCCAACTCATTCCACAGCCTCGCATCCTTCAGTATTTTGTGAAGAAACTTAAAAACAATGTTCTCAGGAGAATTTCATAAGGGTGTGTTGACTATCTAATTGTAAGCTTAGAAGCTTCCTTTAATTTGATTTCAGACTCTATTTATGATACCAGTTAAGCCTATAAACATGTTTGTTTAGGGGATTTGGATCAAGAGCTTGTTTTTATCAATTGGATTTTTTTTTTTAAGATTTTATTTATTTATTTGACAGAGACACACGGGGAGAGAGGGAACACAAGCAGGGGGAGCGGGAGAGGGAGAAGCAGGCTTCCCGCGGAGCAGGGAGACCAAAGCGGGGCTCGATCCCAGGGTCCTGAGATCATGACCCGAGCCAAAGGCAGACACTTAACGACTGAGCCACCCAGGCACCCCTGGATTTTATTTTAGATATTTAATGTTATGCATATGAAAAACTTGGTCATCTACAGGGCTAAATGGTAAATAAGTAAAACGTGTAATTTTCTTGAGGTGATTGACAGTTGATAGTGTGCAAGGATAAGATGTTAGAGCAAAGAACTGCTAAATGTACAACAGTATCTGTGTGACTTTTACTTTTTTTTTTTTTTTGTAGGATCATTCATTTATTTCAGATCCCATCAATCTCAAGGAGTAGCCAAGCTCGGAAGTCCTATTCTTACAAAAGCACTCACTGCCTCTACCGCATGTCAGGTAATCAGTTATTGGAACTTCCCTTGGCCACTCTGTGGTTGTAAACTGTTAGGCGTGGGTTACCTGTGCCAGTAAATGCCTGCTATGTTTTACTGCCATTTTCTGATGACCTGAGAGATTTATACGAGCTATGTCAACAAGAAATGTCATGTCCTTCCAAAAGACCATTTGCAACATGTAACTTAAACGGTTCTTTTTTGGGGCCCATTAAAGAATATTTCTGTCATTTTGTGTTCTTTCCGCATAGTCCTTTCAGTAAGCCAAAGCTGTGGATACATGTTGTCAAAACTGCTGATTATTTTGGCCAACGGTGTTAATTGAGTAAAATAAATAAGCCAAACAAGTGCTTGCTGAAAGGAAGATGAAAGGGTGAATAAAGAGAGAGACATATGTGCAGAAAAAATAATTACATCTTCTGAAATTTTATTTTTTCAATTAGTCTTCGTGGTGCCGAGTGAACATAGAGCAAGTGATATATGCTCAGTCCATTTCAACAACACCATAGAGAAGAAAGCAGAGAAGGACTTTGGAGTCAGACAGACCTGGTTCAAACCTCAGTTCTGCCACAGATTATATATACTCTCTTTGAGACCCCATGTCTACACTGGAAGTGTAATAGTAGAGTGCCTTTATCACATGGTTGTCAAGATTAAAATATCATTGAGTAAAGTATGTGGCACATAATAGGTGTTCACTAAGCAGAATTCCTTTATTTTTCGTAGAACTAACACCTACATTTAGATGTTTCTGTTCAGCTTGCCTTGTTTTCTGTCTTTTTGAGCATTCCAGCAAGCCTCGAAGCCCTCAGGATTTCAGTTTATTTAATTTTTTTGGTTATCAGAAGACCATGCAGATCGATACTGCTGCACACTAAATTCATCATCTGTAAATGTGGGGGGTACAGCAGTTTATTCAGGCATTCCTGTTGACAAATCACACATTGTTCAGAGGAATAAATCTAATTATATGTTCAGCTTGATATAAATCTGAATGGGAGTGCTCAGATCTCTTAATGGATTGTCTTCTCTCTCTCTCTCTTTTTTTTCTTCCTCATTCTTTCCTGCCCATTTCTCTGGGGATTATATTTAAAATGACTGCCTGGACTTCACGTCCACTCTGCCCAGATGCACTCTACACTTGCTCACCTTTGTTTTATTTCAATTAAATCCTATGTGATAGATACAGATTTTTTTTTGAAAACTCCTGAGGTATTTACTCACTCTGTAAAAGTACTTTACAAGCTTACTTAGCCTTAATTCAAGGTCATATACTGAAGAGAGGTGATCACCGTTGTTACTTACATAGGCATTGGATACAAAACAATAAAATGTATTAATTCTACTTGTTCTGCAGAAATTTGAAAACAAATATTAAGAGCTTATTAGAAATTCCTGAGATTCAATGATTTTTTTCTTTTTAAAGATTATCCACATTTTCCATTGTTGTATGCTGGTAGCCATTAATTTGTGTTGATTTGGTTTATGTTTCAACATATGATTGTTTCTACTTGGGGGCATTTTTCTCTATTGTTGCTTAAACTTGGAGTTTAGCTGTGGTGGGGCCTCAGTGAAAGCCATGGGCATGTTTAGACAACTTGCTGATTTATTTCTCAGAACCAGTACTCAATCTCCCAAGGCCTCAAATGCTGAGTTAGTGGTTTGCCGTGCTTTTTAGAAAAGTAAGAGTGTTTCAGGGAGCCATTCCAGACTGCCAGAAGAGGTTTTTTTTCCCTTTGTATCTGCTTGAATGTTAGTACTTTTGAGTTAGAGGGATGGATATTTGGGTTACTTTTATAATACTTTTTGGTCTAGGAAGTAGAATTAGACAGCTAGAGAAGGTTATCTATAGTCTGAGATACATATAGTTTAATGTTCTTTCCCAAAGGAGTATTCTAAGAATATAGTATTACTTTTTTACAAGTCTGTGGTAATGTGTGATACTTTCTTTCATAAAAGTTATGGAATAAGCAGACAACCAAATTCTTATCTTATTGAGTAATCAGAAAATCCAGCCGATCTTCCTAAGTGGAACATATTGGTAATAGTTATATTCATGGAATAGCAGATGTTAGTCATTATACAATGGTGAAGTTAGGCGGGGAGATAACTGAAGTTGGGTGCTTTGATATGATTAAAGTCTTCATTTTATGAAATTATATTTTTCCTTACATAATCATATGAAGCTAATATAGTTCAGAACTTTTTTTTGAAAGGACTTTAAAACCATGAAGCTTTCTTTTGAGTCTCCTTTTCTAACAAGAGTCTAGTAGAGTCATTTTGCATGAATTATCTTGTGCTTTATGTATAGCCAGCACATGGCATCAACACGCACAAATTTTCCTACACCCACTCCTTGCCGAAGATGTGGACTTTAATTTAAAGACTTCAAAAGTTTTTTTTTTTCCATGGAATAGCCAGGAGATAGGACAAATAGAACACATGGGAGCCAGAAGCTACTATTTCTTATGTTGAAATGCTGTTACTGTTTTGAATTAACTAGGAAATATCAAATATAAAGGAGATTTATGGTAGGTATTAATACTTTCTGAATTCTCATATTTGAGTTACTATGCAAAATTACTTTTAGGGCTTCACAATTAATTAAAGACAGGAAGATTAATACAAAGCTTCTGCTTTCAAAGCTGGTTTGCATATTTGTCTACTTTAAAAACAATTCCCCAACTTGTTTTGCACTTGTTTTAATATTCTTTAATTT